GTGTGTGTGTGTATAGATGAGGCCCGGTGCATGAATTTGTGCATGGGTAAGGTATGGCCAGCCTGGCCAGGGGGAGGGTATATGGGCGGTTGGCTGGCCTGCCTGCTGGTCAAACTTCGGTCGAGGGGACAATTTGCATATTAGCCTTTTATTATATAAGATATACACTGAGTGGCCAGATTATTATGTATTCAGGGATTATCATAATCTGGACACTCAGTGTGTATGAGAATCTTCTGCTGGTTTCCCCTCAGACCACAAGGCACCTCAGCTGAGCAGCAGGTGGTGAGGACTGGGGAGCCCAAGGGGGGGTGCCTCAAGGCGAATACAGAAAAGATGGGGCACTGCGGAGTCCCACCTGTTGTTCTGAGACGTTTTTAACTAAAGAAAGTGGCGCCATTTTACGGGCTCCTCGGTCCGTTTCCCGCGTCCTGAACCGCAGCTCACTTTGTGGACAGACTACACTCTCTGCACTGAGGAGGAGAAACCTGAATGATTGATGTCAAGCAACAGTTACTGACATGGAAAGATGTTCATGGACAGTGACACCTGGTAAACAAGAAGTTACAAGCAGTATATGCGTGTGACTGTCTTTTTAAATGTGTGTATGTGTATAGAAATGAGTGCAAGCACACACTTCAAAATGTTAGAGGTCATCTCAGTAGTGGATTTTATAGGTCTTTAACTTCTTGGCATGCTTTGGTGAACAGTTTCCTTTTCATAAGAGTAAAAAGCAGAGCTTTCAAAATGAAAAAAAAAAAAAAAAAGTTGCCCTCTATCTTTGAAAGATAATTTTATCTTTTTAAGCTCGGTTCCATCCGAAGAACCATCTCCCTGAGCTGCCCATTTCATAGTGAACCCTCGCTTCTGAGTGCTTCCTTTGGGCCAGCATTGCATTCACATTAACCTCCAAACTCAGCCACTTAAAACCTCGTGCTTCCCCCTCCGGCCAAACCCTCGCGGTGGAGGAGGACATCAGAGTGAAAGCTCTCCAGCTCCCCTGCCCTCCTCCTCAGCCAGGGCCTCCGAAGGAGCACACCGCTCCCCACCAGGCTGGGAGGGCTGGCCCGCACCGTCCAGGCTGGCCCGCCAGCTGCCTGCTTCTCAGGGTGTTAAAAAAAACTGCCCTGATGGGGAATTTACTGCCCCAAAGCCCATCAGAACCCCGGGGACAGGAAATGCACAGAAATGCAGAGCTCAGAGCCAGCTGCCTTCCGCCAGGCCAGGGACACACACACACAGTGTGTGTGGTGGGAGCCTCTGTGGAGACAGCCGGCTGCCGCCATCCCCACTCATCACCTGGGCCCCAGTCACTTTCCTTCCACAGAGAAAGGAGCCCAGATTCCACGCTCCTGGCTTCAGAGATGACCGCGTGTACGGGGACGTTCCTCGGACCCCCGGGGAGCAGGGCTGGACTTACTGCCACCGCAAAGCGAGGCCAGGAAGCCTGGGCGAAGATGGGATTCATCTGCTTGAGCTGGAAGGCCCTCTGTCACCCACGTCTAAAAAGACTGATGCCCTAAGCCGAAACTGGTTTGGCTCAGTGGATAGAGCATCGGCCTGCAGACTGAAGGGTCCCGGGTTCGATTCAGGTCAGGGCACGTGCCTGGGTTGCGGGCACATCCCCAGTGAGGGTTATGCAGGAGGCAGCTGATCGATGTTTCTCTCTCATCGATGTTTCTAACTCTATCCCTCTTCCCTTCCTCTCTGTAAAAAAATCAATAAAATATATATATTTTTAAAAAGACTGATGCCCTGCCGTCTGCCAGGGCTGCCTGCCCCGCCCCCGACAGCCCCTGCGGCTTTCCAGGGCACAGCCTCCCGTGCCTGACCAGAGATGATGCCAGACCTCTCTGAGAATCGACTGTTTGAGCAAGAAGGACAGCCACCCATTCGGTACATTTTAAATAAACACCGTCTCATTGACAAGTAAAAGAAAGGCGTTGGGGTTGACCAGCTTGAGACAACCCAGCCCTTCAATCCTGCCCCTGAGATCTATCAGGACCGCGCCTGGGACATGTCGTGGTGCCTGTTCTGGGCGTGGGATAATCTCTTCAGACCAAGCGTGCAGGTCTTTTCCACACCAGCAACACCCGCATTGCACAAAGGCGATGACACTGTGACCGGTGAAGAAATCGCTGCTGATAAAGAGGTTCTTCCTTTTGTTGTGTTTCCAACTGCACTTTTCCTGTGGAGCACATGCTGAATCTTACAGAAGGTTCAGAATAAAAGGTGAGAAAGACCAAAGACGGCCGACTATCCCTGAGGATGGGTATACATGTTATCTCACTCATCACAAGTACGCTGAGCAGAGCATTGCTGTTCCCACTCTTCATGGTGTGTGTGTGTGTGTGTGTGTGTGTGTGTGTGTGTGTGTGTGTCTGTGTTTTACCCAGACTCTTGCTCAGGATCACAGAGCCAGTGCATCGGCGGGCTCAGGTCAGCAGCCATGCCTGTCCACTGGGCCATGTGCGTGGCCCAGTGTGCGGTACGCCCGCCAGGCAGCTCTCTCCTCCTCTCAGACCTGAAAAGGTGGAGCTTCTTGTAGACCGAGTGGGAACCCAGACTGCCTTCCTGTTGTGCCTCAGATGCGATTGTACAATCTGGCTGAAACGAAGACTCTAGAACCAGCCTCTGTTCATAACAAGAAGGGCAGAAGCACCATCGATTGCCCAACCGTGTGTCGGCAACAGCGCTAGCCGTGAGTCAGCACGCAGGCTTCCTGGAGCTCCCGGGAAGTGACAGGCCACTCCAGCCCGACCTCCGAGAGCCTCCCACCGTCTGTGGTGTTTCTTCTTGCTCAACCAAACCTCAGATGCCACCTCCCTCCCCCCTCCAACCTTCCCCCCCACCCCAGCTTTTTATAAGTGAGGAAACTGAGATCCAGAGAACAAGAGATTTAGGTCCCAGAGTCAGGTGGTGACAGAGGGAGGATAGAACCCAGGTCTTTTCACTCCCCACCCATGGCTTCTCCCAACTTCTCCTCCCGATACACGTGGCAGGTGATGGTGCAGACGCCATGATGGCAGCTGGCAGCCATTGGCCGGATGCTCGTCGTGGCCGGGACCAGCAGCACAAGCTTTAGATGAAGGATTTCGTTAATCCTCAGAATGACAGCCCACAGGGAAGATGAGGAAAGAGAAGCTCGGAGGGATTGAGCAACTTCTCCAGGACCCCTGGGGCACGAGGCCCTGGGACAGAGCCAGGGCCCGGGGGCTCCAGCCACATGTCTGTCCCAGGCTGCCTCTCGCTCACCAGGTGTGGTGGGAACTGCAGCGACTCAAGGTGAGCAAGATGTCTGGCTGCTTCCTGTTACAGGTTGTCCCCTCTGCTTTCTGGAAGCAAATCTTCGCAGAACCAGACCTCGCGAGAAAGGGACACAATTGCTCCGCCCTTTCCTGCCTCCTTGGTGCCCAGGCCTGAGCTTCTCCACAGGGTGAAAGGCCCTACTTGGTGTCTGCATCCATCTATCTATCACCTATCTATCTATCTATCTATCTATCTATCTATCTATCTATCATCAATCAGTTATCTATCATCTATCTATATATCTATCTATCGTGTATCTGCTTTTAGATACAAACATGCATTTAAGGGGGAAAAGGACACGGTTCAGGCAAAAATAAAATAGAATAATTCTTTAAATGAGGAAACTACAGTCTGCTGAGAGTGGAACGCCAGGTGTGCCAGGTGGCATCCTAGGGTTTCAGGGTGCCTCTGCTCACAGGCCCAGGTGCACCAGGGTGGCGGAGGAGGCTGGGGCAGCCCAGGGCTCCCACGATGCCTTGCTCTCTGCATCTGTGTCTTCAGCATCCTTCTCTCAGGTGTGATGCTTGGAGCAGGATCCTCAGAAACCAGCGGTTTGCAGTTGCCAAGAAGAAAGTCTTGTTAACAGGTTTCTTAAAGTCATTTTTGCTCAAAGGACACTGGGGAATGAACTCGTGGGAAGATCGCTCAGCCTCTCTGGAGTGCAGGTTTATTGGCAGTAAAACGAGCGGCAACCTGAGGTCCTTTTTACCTCAAAAATTCTACATGGTCAGTGCCAATCAGAGAAAGCAGGTCTAACACCGACTCCTCCCTCCGCCCTGTCCACTGGCTCCCTCCGGTTCTTCTGCTCCAGCTCCAGTTACCGCCATTCAGCCCCAAACAGTGCCATACCTTTATGGCGGTAAGGTAAGACTCCTACACATATTAGTAGCCACAACAAAGCCCCTCTTTCCACAAGAAGGAAATATCATCTTGTTATGAAGGAGAGTGCAATGCAGAGAGCATTCCCGCGGAATGAAGGCATGGATGATGGAAGCTACCCATGTACACAGCACATTCACATGATTTAATGTTCTGCAGAAACCCCACGGTGATTCTGAGGGAAGGGCTTCTAAGTAGTTATTAACATAAACTTCCCACCTGAGGTTCTGGAAACATTTAAATTAGAGCCACTGGTAATGATGACCAATGTGGCTTTGATAAAGCTAACAAATGCTTTGGTCTTGTTGCATTTTACATTTTAAGCTATGTGTTTATGTACGTTAGCTATGACCAGGAAGCTCTCCCACCCCCATCATTTAGAAAGGTAAATCAGCAAATGAAATAAGCTTATTCTAAAAGCTTGTCCCACTTTCCCAAACTGTTAACGTGAAACAGTCACTAATACACTGAGTGGCCAGATTATGATGATCTCTGAACGCATAATCAGCTGGCCACTCAGTGTATATCCTATATAATAAAAGGCTAATATGCAAATTGTCCCCTCTACCAGGAGTTCGATCAGCAGGCTGGCCAGCCAACTGTACATGTCCCCTGGCCCTGGCCAGGCTGGCTGGACCCCACCCATGCACTGAATTCATGCACCAAGCCTCTAACATATACACACACACACACAGAGTGGCCAGATTGTTCAGAGGTCAACATAATCTGGCCACGCAGTGTGTATATATGTACATGTGCATAACTTCCTAGAGCAACGTGGTGACAGCAAAGAACTGTTGTTTGCACTTTACCTGGGAAGCGCGGTGATTTTCCCCCACTTTTCCACACAGAACCTTCTGGGGCCATTGCTCCCTCGGAGAGAAGCGAAGCCTTCATAGGGAATGCTGGATGTGCCCGTCACGAACTACCGATGAGAAAACAGGAGGAGGAGGTGAGGCCCAGCGGCCAGTGTCCCCACGTGCCGAGCTCCCGGAGGAGGAGCACACTGCCCGCCCCACTGCTGGGGACGCTGGAGACAAAGCTTATGCTGGGCAAGGCCATCCCCAAGCAGCTGGCACAGAACCACGGAAGGACGGGCCTTGTCAAGGGACGGGGTGGGGGCCTGAGGACAGAAGGCCTCTGGACCACTGACCAGCGCGGGAGCGTACCCCAGGGGTGGGTGGGTCCCACTCCACGTGAATGAAGTGGGTGTGTCAATGAACCTAAGTCTATTGGGCATCAGCCCCTCATCAACTCGGGGTGGATTATAAAAAAAAGGGATGATGAAAGGAAATTAAAAAGAATTTCTGGGCCTGCAAATATGAGGGCAGGTCCTTGACCCAGAGCAGCCAAGACTCCGCCTACGGGGAAGGCTCCCTCTGAGCATCCAGAAGGCTTTCTTGTGTCTGAGGTCTCTCTAGCTGCAACCCACCAGCCACTGCCCCGGGTGACTATAAACACCACAAGAAAATGAGTTCCTTTTCCCAGTGTCCTCCAACTGCGTTGTTCTCCCTAACTTGGTGACAGGCAGGAGGAGGGGAAGAAAGGGCTCTTTATCAAGGAACTGGGTCACTTGTTAAGGGACCGAGTGGAAAGCACCCGTGGCTCAGGGTGCGGGCCCGCGGAGGGCCCGGGGACTCCCTCGGAAAGGGCCTCGCTGCCCTGAAGGCAGAGGCTGACCCCGGGTCCCTGCCCTGGCGGTGGTACTTCCTTGCCTCCCTCACAAAAGGTGTGGGGCGTTGTGCCCCGTGATGGAGCCCAAGGACCGTGCCATCCGAAGAGTCTGGAAACCGTGCCTCCCACGTTGGCACATAAACACGGAATGGTCTGATCGGGGGTCCTCTGCGAGTATTAAAAACACACTATTCCAACGGTAGCTCTATGGATGCGTGGAAAAGATGAACCAATGGTGTCTTACCTGCAACAGCCGCAGCCGCTGCTCGTTGTTGAATCTCTCCACGGCCGCCCAGAACCACCGGATTACAATGTGATTGTCGTGGTACCCTGGCGAACCAACCACAAAAGCCTGCGTTACTTTGGCTTTTCCAGCGGAAGCCACCCGTGGCACGCTGCAAAAGGCACCCCCGGCTCCTCTCCTGGCCGTGGACTCCGTAAAGGTCACGGATCATGTAAGGCGAAGGAGGACACCGTGCACAGGATTGCACGCGTGTCAGAAGTCCAGCAAACACAGCGCTGAGGGACAGCGAGAGGCCCTGTTTCCCTGCAGTGCCACCAAATGCAGCGAGGGGAGAGAAGAGCCACAAAGGAGGGATGTTAACCCCAACGCCTCTGAAGACTATAGCCGCTGTGACTGGAAATGCTGAACTCGTTGGGCCACTCATTTAAGAAATAATTTGTGAGGGTCGCAAGGCCAAGGGCTGTACCATGCTTGCGGGTACAGTGGCCAAGGAACCAGACCCTCACAGGGCTTCTGGGAAAAGAGAGACACATTCATCAAATAATTATACTGCCCGGCCAGTGTGGAGCAGTGGTTGAGCGTGGACCCACGCATCAAGCGGTCACCGGTTCTATTCCTACTGGTCAGAGCACATGCCTGGCTTGCAGGTTCAATCCCTAGTGGGAGGTGCAGCCAGGGATCCCTCGGGAGGCAGCTGATCGATGTTCATGTTTCTCTCTCATTGATGTTTCTCTCTCTCCCTTCCTCTCTCTCTTTTAAATCAATAAAAACTTATTTTTTTAAATGATTATACAAATTAATACATAATTGAAAAATATTTTAAAACTACATATAGCATTCATATAGTTTAATCAAATTACTCTTTAGTAATAAAAAAGGAAAAGGAATTGTACTACTTTAATTCCTTCAACTAACAAACCCCCGATAACCTTCAACCTAAATATTACTTTTATTTCATACTTAAGAAGCATTTAATGATATGTTAAAAGTGCCATCCCATGGGTGGGTTAGGAAGGAGTTGTAGATGTCCGTCCTTTCAATAAAGAAAAATTATGCTCAGAGATTACGATACAGTCAGTGTTTCAAACCAGTGAACTGACATATTCCACCAATATGCACCAAGCCACTGGGATTCTGGGTCGGAGGAAGTACGTTGCACGTATCCCAGTGGCCATAGGATCTGGGACCCTTCCTTCCTGCTTCCTCTCAGACCAGTTACGCTCAGTGCTCTGGGGGAGGAGAGGGGTCCAGGTGAAGGGCAAGCAAACCAGGCTGGGCGTGGGGACGCATGGCCAGCTCTTTGGTGCTGAGCAAACAGCTTCCCCATCTCTACACCATGCACTGGCTCTTGATTGATAGCCTGACGTTCTCTGATCTCACGCACCAGCCCCTCGCTGCCTCCCTTCGCTGTGTGTGCCCAGCCGTGGGGAGGAGGAGGAGGAGGAGGAGGAGGAGGGTCTCATTGGACCCCGACGAACCGCTGCCTCACAGACACGTGGAGAGAACAGGGAGCCCCTCTTCTCGCAGCGCCACGGGGCGGGGCTTGCAGGCCTGGCAGCCGGGTGCCCCACCCGGGTCACCCCTCCCCAGAAGCTCATCTGATAAGCTCTACAATAACCGTAGAAATAGATACTCGATGAGTCACACACGGTGAATCAATGTTTATTCTGTACACATACAAGAGCCACAGCCTGGGTGAATGGCACTGCCCGCAGAATCGCCCGGGGTGGGGAAATGAGCTAGTGCTGTGTAGGGTAACGTGCAAGCTAGGTAGAAACTGGAGAAACGGTGTTCTATTATAGTTAGTGAACGTGTTTGGTTAACCGAGTTAGAGTCACCAAGGCCTTCTACGGCTTGTACTGTGGGCCGGCTGGACGACACTCGCTGCGGCAGCTGAGGCTGCCTCGCGGAGAAAACGGGCCAGCAGACCGGGAGCCGGGAAAACCTCGTGCAGGCAAGAACAACAGCCACTGAGCAAACGTCAAGTGTTGTGTTACTCCGAACTCTTAACATTGTGCTTTGAATTTCTGGGTCAACGGACAGGCCACGAGAGGACTGATCGGCAATGAATCCAGGGACTTCAAGTTTGTCTGTTTCACCCTGCAAGCTCAGAACGGGCGCTCGCCCCGCACACGGTGAGGGAGGAAACCACACCAAGCCTGCACAACAGCAGCCGCTACCCTAACCCTAACCCTAACCCTAACCCTAACCGGGGGCTCTGTGATGGCACACTGCGTTTCAGGAACGCTGCTCTTCCTTTGCTTACCCTCCCGGGAGTTAGACTGTGGCGCTGGGTTACCACCAGGTCCTTTCAAAGTGCAGGGACTCAGCATCCAGCCGCCGTGGCTGCGCTCCAGTTCCTCAGGGAGAGCTCGCACTGCCGCTCCAGAGGCCACCGCTAGTGGTGGAGGGTCCTGGAAGGGCAGCCTGTAGCTTCCCTTCCAGCAGTTTCTCTGTCAGTGAGCGTAAGGCCTGACTGGGGAAGGGCTCGTTTAGCAAGCCACTGGGACTGTGAGGGCACGCCCTGTCCCATTCACGTGTTTCCACCGTGAAGCCCAGCTGCCGAGCCGTTCAGTTAAGCGTAGGAACACGGCGCTGGCATGTAAGGGAGTCCGGAGAGGGTGCCTCTCCGAGTTTTAGAGCGAAGGGAGACTGCAGGTGGAGTCTGAGCCAGCTCCCTGGGGCTTCCCTCCCAGCACCAGAGAGCCATCGATCAGTGCTCCGACGGGCGCATTTCTTCACCCACAATTAAGCGTGATGACATCCTAAGACGGGGCGTACGCAGGCCTTCCTCCCTGTGCGGATGAGGTAACCAGGGAGAGAAGGGGATGCCCCAAGCCCCAGGTCGCAAAGGAGATGTGCCAGGCCTACGATGAGGGTGCAAGTGTCCTTGCTGTCCCAGCAGCCGCGCCCTCGGCCTCCCTTCCCTCTCTAGCTTAGCACCCCCACCCCCTCGGCCCCCCAGCCCAGGTCACCTCCTCTGTACTCGGTGTTGTTCCTCCAGTCACTCAGGTCGATTTCGGCGGTGCCCGCGATGACCAGCTCCAGTTCCCTCGCATCGAACACAGAGACCAGCCTGGCATCCACCACCTGTGGAACAGCAAGAACTTGGGGCACAGCCCAGGCCCCCGGAGGAGGCCCAGCAACCGCCCAGCCTCTCCAGGAAAGGAGGGCGCTCGGAACGTGGGGGATATGATGGATATGCCCTGTAGGTGCTTTAAAAAAACGGCAATGCTCTCGACACATCCAAGGTGTTTTTAGAACGAGGCCGACCAGATGTCTCCCAGCAAAATTTCTGTTTCATGGTTGAGCACTGATTAATCTAGGTTATTTTTTCTTTTCTAAAAAAGGTCTAGTGCTGTCGACCCGGTGCGGCTCAGTGGTTGAGTGTCGGCCTAAGAACCAGGAGGTCACAGTGCGATTCCCAGTCAGGGCACATGTCCGGGTTGTGGGCTTGATCCCCAGTGGATTCTCTCACATCTTAGATGTTTCTCTTTCTCTTTTTCTCTTCCTCTCCCTTCCTCTCTGGAATCAATAAATACATCTTTAAAAAAAAAAAAAAAAAGAGAGATCTAGTGCTCCTCCGGAAGAAGTCGCACGGATATTGGATACCTGTCACGTCTGTGCAGACCCTCCGATACGAGATTTCGCATGTAGAGTGACTGTCTGCATCCACACAGGCGCCAGACGCATGTCATACATGTTCCCAGTGGTCTTTGAACTGTCAAATGCTGTTTGAGCTCAGGCCGTTTTAGGTCAATGCGCTCTGTAGCAGGCATGAGGCTTTCTGTGTGTGCTCTCCACACGTGCAGGAAAAAACACTGGAGACTTTTCACCGAGAGAGCCGCCGTGAGGACAGCACTCGGGAAAGCACCGGGCGCAGGCTGCGGCCTCGTGGACGCGGCCCGGGAGCCCCGGCCCGCCCGCCCGGCGACGCCTTACCTCGTAGAAGCCGCGCACCAGGCTCTCCGTCTGCTGCACCACGCCGCGCTCGATCCGCCACTTCACCATCCTCTCGATGTACTCCTTCTTGTTCTTCTCCGTGACAGGGATGTTGGCGCCCCCGGGCTTCAACTCGCGCTCCGTGATCTGGGTTCACACAAGAGGACCGACAGTGAGGCAGCCCCTCGAGGGAGCGAGAACGCTGCCCCGCAAGCTGGTGTGAAGGGCGCCCGGGGCCCACGCTCACGCCATGGCCCAGGCATTGAGTGTGTGTCCAAGAGCCTCCGTGGCTAAAACATACGTAGTCGGTGACGAAGGTTAAGCTTTCAAAAATCCTGCCTGAACAGATAAGCCGTTTAAGTGACGACAAATTGGTTCCAGATTCTGGGCCACTGCTGGTTGGATATTTGACAAAAACACATTTTCTAGAATTCCTTCAGGGTTCCGAATCAACCACACACAGAAAGCCCATGTTTAAGGAAAGACTGGCTTTAAGGAAACAGAATTACATTCAAGTGGATATTCAATCGAGAACTTCTTTTCCAAAACACAAAATTCAGAAAAGTAACCAAATGTTAATGTCTAAGTAAGGTTACTACTTATGAACTAGTATGTAATTTCCCAAAGAAATCTGTTAAGCAACCCTTCCATGGACTTCGTAAAAAAGATCAACATTGGTTGATGGGTCAATATTTTCAAACCTTCACTAAAATATTATTTTTCTTTCCTTCAACTTCGAAATATCCCTTAAAACAAAACTTCAGTTCTGACATAGGAATGAGAGTTAAATCCAAGTGCCAATTAAGGAATTCAACATTAACTCTGGAGTAGCATGGGCTTTTAAACGTTGTGTTTAAGGCACCTTCTACTGTAATACCTTACATGGCTACTTCAGTTGGAAATAAAAGGATCGCTTACAACACACAAATAGTTGTCACACACTGTACAACAGAACACCTTCGTCTGCAGTTGGCGTGGGAATCATCTTTGCAACCACGATGATTGTAACGGTACACAAACCTGGGTTTCAACCACCCAGCAAGCCACAAGTAAATATACAATACATCTGATCTCAGCCAGTAAGTCATTCTTCACCGACCAGCAGCCTCCAGGCACCACACTGGCACCCCGGCTGCCCACACCCACAGACCTGCCCGAAGACTTCTTCGTTCACAGTGAAGGTGAGGTCCAGGATGTCATGGATGTCGTTGTCCTTCATCCACTGCAGGCTCTGATGGAACTCTTCATCCAGGTACTCGAGGTCACTCAGGTCACACAGACTAGGGCGACACACAGACGGAAATAAACACGTGAGCACAGCTAAAGCCCAGAGTCACGAGGTGAAGGATTGTAGAAAAAAGCAAGGTCAACACAATAAGCACTGGTTTCTAGAATGTACCGAGTCAAAGGCAGAAGCCAAAGCCGGGAAATCAGTTGGAAATTTGTCATACAATTTTAATATCCTGGGTATTTATTACACATCTGAGGAATCACTCAGTCTGACCTTTCAGAGACAGAGACAGTGGGAGGTTCAGAGAATGATGGCCATCAGCACAGTCCCCCACAACTGGTGCCCCAGAAGAAACCAGGACTCGGATGGACAACTTGGGTCCAGTGTCCTTTTGGCTATGTTGCACTGACTTCAGCAGTGTTGTCCTAATTAGAAATTCTTCGTATGTTTCTATAATGCACTTGAGCTTTCTCCCCCTAACGACCAGATGTGGTCCACGTTTATAAACATCCCCTTTTTCTTCATGGTTCTCACTTTTCCCATGGTTACAAAAAAAAGCAAGCCACAGAGCCTCTCTCTATAATTATAAGGGTTTTCTGTAGCTCTCTCCTCTTCTTTCCTGCTGAGAGAGGATCTACAGGAGGTGGAGTAACTATTATGGAAATGCAAGGTGGCAACATTTGATTTGCTTCAGTTGTTTTGAAATTCCCTCCCATCAGCCCAATTTCAGAGGTCAGGCTGTTTGGCTCAGTCTAAACATCTAGTAGGCTTCTCAAGTATGTTCCAGATATCATAATAGCTACTTGTTAAACACTAATTGACCTCCAGGAGATAATGGTCTAGCTGGGGAGACAGGAACACAAATTGATGAGTTAATATAAGGTGGTTAGTGATAGCCAATTATAAATGGGTAACACTTATAATTTGTGCAAAGGTGTATAGGTATGTTACAATCCAATTAGGAAAAAAATAAAAGAAAAAGAAAGAAGAAGAAGAAGATAAGGTAGCTACAGAGAGCTCTCACAGCAAACATGAAGGACATGGACTTTGACCTAGAGACTCAGGGAGCACTTTCTGGTGTAGGTGATACTTGTGATAAAAATTTGCAGGATATTTAAAAGCTAAGGAGGTGAAGGGGACTGGATGAAAAGGAGAATTAGGGGAGAAGAAAAAGGAGAGGAGCAGAGAAACATGAACAAATCCTAAAGGCAAGGAGTATGCAGAATACGTACGCCAGCATCCTGGCAGGACCAGAGAGTGACCCGCTAGGCGGAATGTCCAGGGGCTGAGGCTAGGAGCTGGGAGCGGGCCGTTCTAAGGGACTTGGTGATTCAGAACGACGGAAAGGCTTTAGGGAATAATATGATCAGCTGTGAGATGTGACTTTCAATTGTTTCTCTGGAAATGGCGGTCCAGGGGATTACTTAAAGCAAGGGGAGGTGTGGTTATGATAAAAAAAATAGGGATCAATGACACGTCACCGTGGTCATCTGGGAAACATAGGACCAGGGTTTCATCAGGGCACAGTTATTAAGGATGGAAAAGAGAAAATGGATTTAAAAAGTGTTTAGGAGACAAATTTGAAAATTAGTAAACGTGTTTGGGGGGGGCGGTATATAAAGAATGATATCTAAAATAGGGATAGCAAATAAACTCATGTTCCAGGTCAACTCAAATTCGTCTCAAGGGCTCTAATTCAAAAACTCCCTGAGGCCCCAACAAGTTCAGCCAGAAAAAGCAGCAGGAAGGACCTGTGGACTAGCTCCTGGGGATGGGCAGGAGGTTGGGAGGAGCTGGACATCTCCTGCTTCCTGATGGAGGGTGACTGCTCATTTCTGACTAGAGTAAACTGAGACAGCTGGGACCATCAACTATAACTGGGCACATGGCAAAGGGTGCACTTCAGGCCAGGGAAAGGGGATGAGTTTCGTGACAGCCACGCTGACTGCGAGGTGCCCGCGAGACACCCATGGGAGACACTCAGGGGCATGTCTCACTCAGTGGCACGTAGGTTGACCACTTCAGCCTACAACTTCAGGGAGATCAAAACCGAGAGTCTGATTTGAGCGTTAGAAGGAGAGGAGACTGGTGAAGAGATTTCCCCATGAGAACACACACACACACACACAGAGAGAGAGAGAAAGCCAAGAATAGAAGCTTCTGGAACACTGATGTTTAAGGGAAAATCAGAGGGGAAGCCCACAAAGGAGACACAAAAGCAAAGGAGGACAGGGCCATCGATGCCATGAGGTCATACTCAAGATACAAGGACGGGGGTTGGGTGGTCAACAGGACCAAAAGCAGTTGATGGCCCATTAAGATAAGGTCAAAATAATATTCTTTAAAAGCTTCGCTAGGGTACTGGTGGAAAGAAGCCAGGCACCGTGGGTGGAGGGTGTGCCAGCAGCTGGTATAGACTGCTCTCACAGAAAGCCTAAATGAGAACATGAGAGATGAAGCCACAAAATGGGATGATACAACAGGAGCTGGGGACCCACGGGAGAAGATGCCCAGTGCCCAGCTGCCCGGGGCTTCATCTGCCCAGGTACCCAAGGGGAAGATGGTAGAAGTCATCCTACTGACCTTCATTCATATGAGCCCCCTAGACACACCTTATTTCATTTGAGGTCTAGGCTTCCATTTTCAGGGAGTGAGCTACACAGAACCAATCATCTGTGCTGTCCCATTGCAAGTGTGAGGCCCAGCCCAACAGACAGGCCCCATCTCCTGTTCAGCCTTGTCAGCGCCTACTGATTACAGGACAGAGACTGTCTGGCTTGACATCTGACAACGACCGCAAGTTCTCACTGTGACAACCACGAAGAAGAGTTCTGTGAATGCCATTTCTCCGCTGCCATCATCAGGTACCATTTTGCATGTAGGGAGATCTCAGGGAAAATATAGGACTGCCCAGCCCTAACACACACACACACACACACACACAGAAATAGGGCAACAGCCAAAGCAGCGAGAATGGAAATGTGGACTAAGAGCAAGCGGTAAAAAGTGTGCATAAAGCAAAATACGAAGGGCCTCATCTAACAGCTAGAAGACCATGAGTCACCCAGGCCAACCCACCACGATTCTATTAATAATCAGCATTACGGCCGCAGGAATCCCAGGGCTGTACTTGATGTACATTTGTTTTTAAGGAACATGTGTTGTGACCAATGACAACCAATTATTTGAAGTTCATCAGAACTAAGACATTGGGGGCGAGACAGAAGGAAGGGATCCGAAGCAGGAAAAACGCAGTCACTGTCTTCGTTCCGGAAATCTAACCCTCTCTGAAGGGTAGTGACAACGGGTGGAAACCCTTTGCAGGAAAGGACACATTGCAGCCTTACACGCCAATCACACGAGCAGTAAAAACACTCTTACATTCTGAGGAGAGCCTTGTAGAAGGGCCGGGTGAAGAAGGCATCCAGCAGGTACTGGTGTATCAGTGCGAGACCCAGGATCCTACCGCTGAACCGGAACCTGCAGAGGAGATGCATGGGGTCACACACACGTCCCGGACCAGGCTCTACACCGTTGTGCTGGCTCGGGCGAACGCCTTCCAGCTCGAACCAGCTACATCTGTCCAAGGCCAACTGCCTACTGGGCCACGTGGTTCTCAACCTTCATTGCTACTTCATAACTATAATGCTGCTACTGTTATGAATCATAATGTAAATCTCTGTGTTTTCCGATGGTCTTAGGCGACCCTAATATCAGTTCTCAACCTGTGGATCGCGACCTGTAGAGCCTAAGACCATTGGAAAAGACAGATATTTACATTATGATTCACAACAGTCGCAACATTACAGTTGAAGTGAAGTAGCAACGACAATAATGTTATGGCTGGGGGGGGTCACCACAACATGAGGAACTGTATTAAAGGGTCGCGGCATTAGGAAGGTTGAGAACCACTGCTCTGCGTCTTCCTGAGGCCAACAGTCACTCATATTCACAGACACGCTGCTGCACCTTCACCCGTGCCAACCGCGTCTATCATCTGCTCCCGCGTGGCCACCAGGAGTCCCCTGTGTGCAATTCCCCAGCCGCTTCCAGGTGGCGGACAGCATGAGCCCGGTGTGGAGGAGAAAACTCTGTCTTCTCCCGGTTTGCAGGAAGATGAGTGGGATTTCTCTCCTACAAACCCCACAGCCCTCCCCTTGGAGGAAACCCCGGGCTCAGAGGGAGACGGTGCCTCTCCCTGCGGCCTCCCCAGCCCCACGCCCGATCCCTGTCCCCACCAAGAGCCAAGCACATGGGCATCTGTGGGAGTTTCCTCCCGGCACATTCTGTTCCCTAAAACCTCCAGGCTCAAGTCCATTCTGAATCACTGGGGGAACTTCACTAAGTCTGTCTGTGATGACTGGGCTTGCCGGCATGAACTGTGCCCTGTTTTCTCTTTCAAAAGTACCCCGTTTCTAACTCTGAGTCTTCCAAGAGCACCATCGGGCTCCCTCCTGCCTATGGAACAGGAGGGTTCCCAGCCACCGGGGACGGCTGTCCGGCAGCTTTGTTTGTCCTTCTTTCCGCTGGTGTTAGCATAAGGGCGACAGCTTCCGTTGGGAGGACTCCAAATGGGAGCCAAACGGAAGTTAATTGGAAAAATAAGTCCTAAAAGTGATGCCCTCCACCCGCCAATACTAACCTCATGACTCAATGTTTTTCATGAGTCCTACTATTTTTTATTTTTATTTATTTATTTGTGTGTGTGTGTGTGTGTGTGTTTGGTCACGATCAGTGAACATGAGCAGAAACAAGTAAACGGGGTTATAAAACTAAAGTCTATACATGCAGGGATTTTTTTTTAAAGGGAAAGGACCTGGTCAGGGTGCGTGCAGGAGGCACCCAATGGATGTGCCTCTCTCACGTCAACCTCTCTCTGTGCGTCTCTCCTCCTCCCTCCCGCTCTCTCCAAAAAAACCACACACAACGCATGAAATCTCCTCTGGTGAGGATTAACAAGAAATATACAAGAGCCACACCAGCCAGAGCAATAAGAAAATAAGATTTTCTCCGGGGGGGAAAAGGTGTTAGAATCGAGGATTCCTATTAAAATGAGTATCACGGAAATAAGCAGAAGCAAAGTGCCGAGGAAAACATTTACTTACCATTCATGGTGATTGTCCACGAAGGCAGACATGGGACTTATTTGCACTGTGTAGGTGTCATTGGCCGAATATTCAAATAAGCCATAATATGGGTTAAAGAGTTCTCTGGACACCAGGAAGAAGAACTCTCTGGAAGGTCCGCTGTAATCCAGCCTTTAAAGAAACCCACACAAAGAACAACCCGTTATACCCATTATATATATTTTTCTTCGTATCATACGCCTTGTCTACAGAGCTCAGCTTTCCCCGGAGCACTCATCACGAGCCTAACTGCCCACTTTGCAGGACTGTCCAAACCCAACGGGGCCATCCTGATTTCCTGATCTCTTCCATGTCTTGGCCCAGAACAGCAAAATGCACATTTTATGTGGAGCATATCCAAGACGAAAGCCACACATCAGATAAGGGTGCAGCGGGCCATATGCACATAGATGGTGTAAACAGATAGGAAGAGGTCAATATTTTCAGTGTCCTGGGCCAGGTTATGAGGAAAAGGGAGAACAGGGAAAATGCTCTTGAAACGGGGCAAAACCAGAGGCATGAGCTGCCTACATCCAGGGACACTGAGTCCTTCCTCAGGGACTTCTAAATACGTTTAACAGGCGGAGAAGGAGACTTGAGTTCACTGGGGTAGAGTGAAATAGCCGATGGAAGAGCCCCCTGGGAAGATCAGAGGCAAAAGGAAATGGAATGACAGAGTTCCAGGGAAAACTTTAAATTACAAAACCCCAAGGAAAATTATAGACAAGAAAACTGAGGGTATCCAATGCTTCCTCGTGGAGGAATTTGGAGAAAAGGCTAAAACTCTTAGCACCTGACCTACCATGTAAACCCCACTTCTGTCACAAGGACATCAAGGTCAAAGCGAGGCAGGAAAAATGACTATGTTAGGTTTGAGGAATGACGAGTGGCCAAACCATGCCGAGAGCAAGACACGCAGTCCAGAGGCGTTGGCAACAGCAATTGGGTACATTAAATTTAAAGCAAAAAATATATATAAGATGCCTACCCCATGATGAATGCTCAGAGACAGGAAGGGACGGGGAGGGGAATGGAAGCAGTGGGTCAGCTGGGGGTCGGAATACGACTTCACTGGCTCACTCTGCTTTTTGCCTCTTAGGGAATTTCCTCCACGGGCCCTACTGCATTTTTTTCAAAGGAGGTCATCTGAGTCTTGAGCAGAGATGGAATTGTGCGATAGAGAAAAGAATCCTGTGAGAGGTGGCGGATGGAGCTGGGAGCCCCGTTCGAAATGTAACGTGATGTTTATTCAGAGCTGAGCATTTCAGAGAGCTTACTTAGAACAGACTTCAGCTAGTCACAAACTGCTTTTTCAACGTTTGGCCGACCTGAATACAGGCGTGCGCTGTTTCCTTCATATTTCTCACGCAGTCAGCTCTAAATTCACTGGCTTTTTCAGCGTAGCCTTGACTTAGATAATGTCTCTGAAATTATGACGTCCTAGCTTTATTTTTTTTCTGACACACAACAAAAGAAATACGTAGATATTAGAATACAACACGTCAGTCTGTGGAACAGCCAAGAGCCATCTCACACAGCCCCAGCGCACGCTGCCCTGTGGGCGCCAGAGTGTGGGCGGCCAGGACGCCTATGTGGGCAGGAAATGCTAGTGTAGCGGCCTCTCAGGGCTGAAGGTAACACACTGAACCTGCCCTCGGGGGAGATGGAGTCTGTAGTCCTGTCCACCGGCCCGTGGATACAATGGGAGGTTGCCACCAGCTGGGGGCGGGGGGATGGGGGGGAGAGTCTGCTCAGAGTGCAGAGGCCTCCTGGGTGCAGGGCACACACCACACCTCCCAGTTGCTGAGCTGGGCAGCCCCATGGCCTCCTCCCTCCATCCTAATTGGATCTCTGATGGCACCAAGAACAAGTAGAATCCTTCTTCCACTTGAATGTTCTTCACATGCTTAGAGTCTTTCTCCCGACAAACATCGGAGGCCTGTCTCACTCCGGGTGCTCATCTGGATGCGGACGGTAGACGCTTTCTTTGGAAAAGTCATTTTCTAAGAACTCTTACTTGTGGCAGTTTTCATCCCCCTGTCTCTCTCCCTCCTGCTCCCTCCTGCTCCCTCACCCACAGGCCTCTTCTCCCACCCCCTCAAGGAGAGGCTGGGAGGTCCCTCTGCTGGGACCTGCTCCAGGCCCACGTCTGACCTACAAGGCGGGGTCTGAGACTGGAGGCGCGGTCCCCTCCTCTCGCTCGGGGCTCAGCCAGGGCTTTGCCCTCCTTTCCTGCACACTCTCCCCTTGGAACGCAGCCGAGAAGCGCCCAGCCTGAGGGGCAGCCGCCTTGCTGACTCACCAGGAGCTTAGTCATCGGCTCATACCTTTCTCCTGGGCGCTGCAGCCCCGGGCTCTCCCGGCCTGTCTGCAGGCACTGAATCGGCTCACAACCCAAGTGCTGGGCGCCATGCATTTTCCCACGGAATTTCACTTTCTGAAACCGAGTCCATGATTCCGGGCTCCCCAGATTCCGGTGGAGGCAGCACTGCTTGCTAATTTCCTGCCGGTGGGGAACTTCATCAGGTCCCGTGTCTTTGCAGAAACAGAAAACACCAGTGGTCCCTGGCACCTCAGGAGTCACTCTGTCCATCTCCTCGTTTCACTGAGATGACTGGGACAGAAGGAAATCACTGACGGGCATCAAATGAAAGCGAGGTGGAGGGTCCGGGCCTTGACGCTGGCTGCCCGGCCCCCTGAACCCCCGTCACTCCTCACAGCCTACCCTCAGGACATTGCAAATATCCAAGACTAACAACAACAAAAAGTCACTTTTAGGCCAGGGTTGGTCAACGATGGCCTGGGGGCCAAATCTAGCCAGGTTCCCAGCTTTGTAAATAAAGTTTTATTGGCACACAGCCATGCCCATGTATGTGCTGCCTGTTTGTCCACGGCTGCTTTTCTGCTAAGACGGCAGAATTGCATGTATGGGAGGGAGGATGCAGGGCTTGCAAAGACTAAACTATTTACTGTCTAGCCTTTCTCAGTACAACTTTGCCAACCCCTGTGACGGGAGGAGGTGGGAGGGACATGCTACTTTATTAAAACACCTGGCTTACTACAGATTCCCTTCTTCAGTGAAGGTTCCTTCCAGGAAATGGGAAATGACTACCACACTCTAGGGTGTATGCCACCTCAAGGCGTGGCCATAACTAAGCATGAGGTGCCGGTGAGTGGTCCGAGCTCCGGGGGAGCTCTCAGACACAATCCCAGCCCCGATCCTAAGGGTCACGGGCAGGTAAATACTTTATGAGTCCCTGTGCGTACAGAGAGACCGCCGGTAGAAGTAAAATGGCCTTTTCGCTGCCTAAAATGCAGCTGTGGCCTTCAGCTGGAAATAGCAGGTTTCTCTGAGGTTAGACTCTCCGTGTTTAGTAACTAACACTGCACTCCCCTCGGGTTATAATGAGCGGCTTGTGCGTCCGCCGCCCCTGTGCACACGCCTACATCACCGCGGGCAGGGCCTGCGCCCTTCTCGTCTCCGTATCCCGTAACCCCTCGGGGCTCCCTGTGTGCCTTTGAGCCAATGCGTGGAGCTCTCTAAAGAGACCAGCCTCCTCTGCCTGGTGAGCTGGCACCCGGCAGGGTGAGTGACTCCGCACAGGTTTGCCTTTAGGTCGTATGTTGACTCAGTGGCATTACCAGGCTGTGCCCGTCCCTCCCTCCATTCACAAATACGCTCATCAGTCGCTCGAGCGAATGAGCCTTCGGGAGCTGGGCGCCGGTCTGGCCTATCCAGGTGCCACAGCATCGACCACAGTCCGGTTTGTGAGGACAACGAAGAGGGGCCTTCCGGAAGGCTCCTTCGTGACGACAACAGCTGGACCTGGCTGGCCATCGCATAAAATGTTCCCTGAAAAGTTAGGCCGGAAAAGGACAGCGTTTCCCCCACCCAGAGAGAACACAGGTGCCAGTCCTCCGGGAGGAAAACGGATCGTCCTGCGGGGTCAGAGGTCTCTCTGCTGCTGTGACCTCCAGGAGCCCAGGGGGCGTCCCTGTGGGGCCGGAGCTGCTTTCACCGCATGATAGGACGGCCATCCCCAACGTCAGGGCTGCCCACCGGAGAACAGGCTGCAACCGCAGATGACAGGCCGAGCTAATCCAGCAGGACGTGTCCCAGCAGGCACCTGGTGCGTGTGCTGCTGGCTCCTTAGCAACCTCCGCCATGTAAACAGCTCCTCTGACTCACGGCCCAGGGATCGCCGGCCACATTCCTGTTCTGCCAGTTGGGTTGGTTCCGCAGCGACAGGCTTGGCACAGACACGCAGAAACTCCGGGCCGCCGCGGGTGTGGGGCCACCCAGCAGCTGCCTGCCAGGGCATTTCGGAATCAGCACAGATGTCTTCGGGGTGGCGGTGCCGTGCGGAGCCCCGGGAAGCACTGAGAAAGCATTCTCTTTATTTACTTTACTTTCTGGCCAAGCATCTCAAACGCCATCACGTTGCCAGGCTGACAGGGCCCGGCTGGTTGGGGGCCTCCAATATTGGTTAAAAGTCATTTATTTTATTCCTCCTGTCCTTTGCGTCCAACCACACATCACCGAAAGTGAAGCATTCCAAGGGAAGTGGACGATACAACGAGAGAAGGCGATGGCATTGGGAAGTCCCACCCCCGTGTCCCCCAGGTTTTCAGGAAGACAAAGCGCGTGGCTTTCTTGCAGGCCGGTCAGCTCCCCCCCCCCCCCCCATCTGTGCACCTGCCGACCCGCCCTCCCATGGTTACAGCAGCAGGACTCCCGGAGCCCGTGTGGGAGGGAGGGGTTTTGTGGGCGAGGCCTGAGGCCAGCCGCCTCGTGCCCGGTGACCCGGAGCCCAGGCCTCCACCACCGTGTCCTTCTTCCGTGGTTTCCCTCGCTGCCTCGGGAGAAGAGCTCGTCTGTCCTTGAACCCTTACGCTCACACCCTGTCCGCCCGCTCACATCCCCTCCCCGGGCTCAGCAGTGGCTTTGCTAGACAGACGGCTGACGTCATAGAGGTGGCTCCTTGCGTATAATGAACTTGTTCTTTCTCAGAGAAAGGCGCCTCTCTCCCAGAGTTGGCCACAGAGGAGGACAGGAGGAGGACAGGAAGAGGACAGGAAGAGGGGCAATCACAGGGCCAACACCTCTCTCTGCAAGGCCGATGCCACCTTCCCGCCGGGCCTACTGCGAAGCGCAGGGCCCAGGATGCCTGATCCGACACCGCAGGCTTCCGGGCTGACTCTGCCACCACGTAGTAGCTTTGGTTGCTGGGACTGTGAAGTCAAAGGACAATGACACACTCCGTGTTGCCCCACTGAGCCCCTCCCTAAAGGCAGCCAGAAGCCCCCCGGAAGGAAGCAGCCACGGCCTACCGTCTCCCCCACATGCGCGCAAGGTGACTCAGTTTCCAGCCCAGCCACCGCTGCTGACACGCACCACTCCCCACGGAGCCAGCCCGGATAACCAGCTCAAGTGGGGCGAGAACAGGCCCCCGGCTCCGACCGAAGGAAATCACAGTGATTTGCCTAGAAACTGTTTACTGTTGGCAAAAAGCCCAGTAAAACGTGAAGCACTGTTTTCGTGAGAAGCACGAATGGCCTTGTGCTTTCATCGTTTTTGCCTTTTTAAGTTGAATACAGGCCTCCCTAATATTCGCAGATTAATTCTGCCTCACCTTGGGACGTGTAGTGAACCTGTACGTTTCTGACTATAAATTCCCCCAGCATTTTTCCTGCCTCAGCTTTTTCATTTCAGGAACAACCTTTAGATCATTTTTTCGGGTCTGTGCAAAGGAACAGCCTAAGGTAGTGGTTCCCAACTTGGGGCACAGGGGCATAATTTGATTTTTAAGGGGGGGCAAATGGAAAATGAGTTAGTAACCGTGAATTTCTTTCTTATGGTCCTAGGGGCCTCAGATACAGTATATAAATATTGCAATATATACTGTGACATACGTATGCATTTCAGTTCACTATTATATGTTTTGAAACTTTATTTACTATATTTCCACATCATTTCATAGTAGTATAATTTTTTAAATAATTTCTTAGTGGTTTCTTCCTTAGTACTTCACCTGTCCTTTTGTTCTTTTTTTCTCTTTCATGGATGCCATGTTCTTTGGAAGCTTGTTTAGAGCAAGTTAATGGCCTTTTAGGCTTCCTCCACGTGATTAGGAGCTCACTTTTTGAATAATAAGAATTATATGTCACTGGGGGGCATCAGGATTTTAGAAATACTTAAGTGGGGCATGGCCAAGAAAAGGTTGGGAACCACTGGCTTAAAGCAAAGCGAAAGCCTCTGAAATCTGTGAATTCACACCTTGTGGGAGTACAGGCAGATGCATTCTTCTTTTCTTGTTAAAAGTTTTTATTGAATTTGTTGAGATTATATTTATTAATAAAATTATAAGGGTTTCAAGTGTACAGTTCTGTAATACTGTGTCCCCAAAAATAATGTAGACACACTTTAACAGTTGATAGCTCAATTTTGAAAATGAAATGTATTTTAATAAACACTGGCTTTATAATTATTCAAAGTGTGTGTACACATTTGGGGGGACACCATATATATATATATTGGTTCTTTCTGAAGATTGCTATGGGTATTCAGGTCTTTTGTGGTTCCATATTAATTTTTGGAATATTCTAGGTCCATGAAATACATCATTGGTATCTTCATAGGAAATGGTTTGGGTAGTATGGCCATTTCATTATGTTAATTATTCCTATCCATGAGCATGGTATATGCTTCCACTTATTTGTATCTTCTCCAATTATCTTTCTTTGGTGTCTTATAATTTTCTGATTACGGGTCTTTTGCATCTTTGGCCATTTGAATGGTATATTGTTGCCTCTTTGGAAATCCCTACTTCCCATATATCCTTCCACATTTCCTGTCCCCACCCGGGACGATGTCCTATCACTCACTGTTGTTTGTGACATTGTGGCAATGATAAAGTTAAGGGGTTGTTTCTGATAACTGAAATTCACACCTCAATATATCCTCTTATTTTCCCTCTGGGGTTCTAGGTGGAAGACAGGTGATAGAAGCAGGAACCATTTGATTGCCACAAATACAGAGTTATCAAACCCCACTCAGCCTGGGCCTCCTCCCAGGAACAGATGTCATCCCAGGGAGACTGCATGAGGATGACCAAACATCACAAGCACCTGTTCCATTCAGACGTAAGTTCCCGGGCTCCCAAAGACTCTTCCCTGCATCTCTGAGATCTCAACAATGCAGGAAGGCAGCTGGCGCTCCGGGGGAGGAAAATCATTCTCATTCAAACCAGGCTGACTCTGTCAGGAAATACCTGGCATCCCATGCATACCTGTGATTAGGCTAAAAACATGTGTCTTCATTTTCAACTGTGCACCTGCGCCTTTAAGCCAACAAACATATGTGAGAAACCCATGGGGGCATGTCAAGGATGAAGGGCTCAGGTCCCAGGCAGCTTCTGTGCAACTTGGTCACATTATGCTCTTTTCCCATATAAGGTTTCACTTTCATCAAGTCTCAGCTGAGAGACGACACGACAGTGCATGCAAACAGCGGAAGTTACCAGGCACCAGTTGAAATAGTGAGAAGATCCATGGCTAGGAAAAACATTCAGGCAGACCAGGTGCAGGAGTTCTGCCTACATCCCAGCGCTGGGCCAAGAGGCTGAATGAAGAACTAAGAGCTGGTTGTGAATCTGTTTTGCTATAACCTGGTTCCACTGACACATGCAGTTATTTTATACATTGGCGCCTCCACTACGTGAACCATACACTGGACGGTTTAATTTGTTGGATATTACTACTATGATTCCATAATCTGACACAGTTTATTCCTGGACATGACTGAGAGGGAAATAATCCCAATCAATACAATCAAGGAGAAGACAAGCAGAGTTCAGGCAATGGTGCGGGGGGTTCTGTTTACTTCACTCTGGTGATGCCTGGGTTGCATTGGAGGTGCTGAAACTTGAACCCGGCCCTGAAATGGGGAAAGCAGAAGGGGCCTGGGAGACAGGAGAGCTGCCATCTCCCATGTGCCATGTAACAGCTGCCACGTCTATCCGGATGCAATAAGACTGCATGTCTTCGCTCCTCATTCCCTGACTTCATCTATCTATATGCACACACTCAGGCAGGAGTCATGGAAGGTGGGAGACCTTAGTTTACGGCAGGCAGCCCTCTCTGTAGGTGTGCTGCCCTCTCAAAGGAGAGCACAGCAAGAACCAAGATCCAACAGTGACTGCTGCACAGGCTTCTGGGTAGAAGAATAGAATTCCAATGAGTGATGCTGAAACGGAATTTGTTTACCAGGCGAAGCACATTCTGCTTGGCACCAGGGCAGGGGATGGGAGCACAGATGCTGAAAGCAGTTCCTTGGTGTGTTGAACCCCTCAATGCCCACTCTTCCCTTTTAGAGAGAACTAGAGAAGAGACCAAACCAAACGCTGCTCTCAAAAACGCTCAGTAGTTACAAGTTTTTACCAAAGGATTTCTATGCCAAATAAGTTAAAAATCAGAGAAGGCCTTTAAAAAAAAAAACAAAAAAAAAACAGCCAAGAGATTTCAGGGTATGAGAGCGGCATTTCCTGCCAGAAGGGTTTCCTGTTTCAGGCGACCGCAGGAGGATGTGGCGAGACACCGCCCTGCAGCCCAGCTGCGATCCCTGGGCCGCTTCTCCGGGCAACTCACCCTTCCTCCCCGACGAAGGTGACGTACAGCTTGTTCCTCTGCAGGTCTTTTCGGGAGTAGCCCATGATCTGATTAAAAGCATCTTCGAGTAAGTGATCTCTTCTGATGATTAACCTGTCCATAATGAGGCAATTTGAAAAAATAAAAATGAAAAGGTTATTGCCTAATCCTTATCTTTCCAGGACTGGGCGCTTGCCATTTCGTTTCCATTTGCCATAACTAACGAGGCCAAAAGGAGTGACTTCATACCATCGCTCTCTGCCACCAAGGCCACGTCTGCCTTCAACTCTCAGCAGCATTAGCCATGGCTGCTTCAGAGACGTGCTGAGAAAAGGGGGCACCCCACCTATGACGTGTGAACCCCGAGGCCCTCTGAGGGCCGAGTCCATCTGTCCAGGACAATGGGCAGCAGCACAGACACAGCCCTGTGTGAGTAGCGAAAGGACAGCCCTAGGAGGTCATGGTTGGAGCCCCAGTGCCCCTAGACAAGCAACTGAGGTACTAAGTGCCTAGAGCAGTGTTCGGCAAACTCATTAGTCAACAGAGCCAAATATCAACAGGACAACCATTGCAATTTCTTTTGAGAGCCAAATTTTTTAAACCTAAACTTCTTCTAATTCCAATTCTTCAAAATAGACTTTCCCAAGCTGTGTGGTATTTTGTGGAAGAGCCACACTCAAGGGGCCAAAGAGCAGCATGCGGCTCGCAAGCTGCAGTTTGCCGACCACTGGCCTAGAGAGTTGACTGTGAGAACAATAGGAAAAAAATTCCCAGTGTCCTCCAACGCAGAGGGGTTTAACACTGTGTTTGACTTAATTTTTTAAAAATATATTTTTTAATTATTTTACAGGGAGGAAGGGAGAGGTATGGAATTAGAAACATTGATGAGAGAGAAACATCGATCATCTGCCTCCTGCACATCTCCCACTGGGGATGTGCCCGCAACCAAGGTACATGCCCTTGACTGGAATCGAACCTGGGACCCTTGAGTTTGTAGGCCGATGCTCTCTCCACTGAGTCAAACCGGTTAGGGCTTGACTTAATTTTTAAATTAGGAGAATCTCAAGACTCCCTAAGTGGCAGATATAGATGACTGACACATGTGCCCATGAATCCACTTGTCCTAAGGTCATCCCTGAGCACACACCCATTTGCCTTTAGTGACAACAGCCATGGAAAGGGAGGTAACGTGGAGGCCAGGGGCTGAAAGCTTAATCCAGAGCTTCGTCAGAGAGACGAAGGAGGGAAGGCTGAGAGGCCTGGTGCTGGACAGCTGGTGTTTTCTGAGGCGAGCGAAGGGGACCAGCTAACTTAACCCAGTGAGTCCTTGGGGGGGTGGCGAGCCATGGGCTGTGGGCTGCCCCCCGGGCCCTCTCTGGGGCTCCGGAACACGGTGGGACTGCAGAAGCGACCCTTCCTCCCGTGTCCTCTCTCAGGGGGCACCTGCCCTCAGGGAGGCCCTGGCTCAGGATGGAGGGGGGATGAGGGGTCGGGGAATGGGGGATGAGGGCAGCAGAGGCACAAAGAGAATGAGCATCGTTCTGCCCCCACGTCGTGTGGCCGCTTCCATCTCCCCATGTAAATGGAGGTGAAGGGAGACGGGCAGAAACAACGTTCATGAGGGGTGCCGAGGACAAGCAACATTTAGTTCACAGCACGACAGGGCTGGGCATGGTGCCCGCAGGACCTGGCGACGGCTTCAGAGCCAAAGAGGCCACACTAAGCCAGCAGAGGTCCTTTTCAGGAGAATAAGTAAACCAGCTTGTCATTTTTATTATTTTTAAAAAATATAGTTTTATTGATGTCAGAAAGGATGGGAAAGAGAGAGAGAGAGAGAGAGAGAGAGAAACGTCAATGATGAGAATCACTGATGAGCTGCCTCCTGCAGGCCCCCCACTGGGGATCGAGCCGGCACCCCAGGCCTGTGCCCTGACCGGGAACTGAACTGTGACCTCCTGGTTCACAGGTCGATGCTCAATGGCTGGGCAGCTTGCACTTTTCCTTAACATTTTCTGCATGGAATGTGGTCGTTTCTTTGCTGTTTCCTTTAAAACCTTAAGCTGAATCGTGTTCAATGCCAGAACTGTGTTTTGTATGGTGCTGCCATGAGCAGACACCAAAGTAATTACGCCGACTCAAACCGAGGTGCGTGTCTTCCCCGAATCACGACTGGCTGTACCCCATCCTCACCCGCAGGCCCTGTGATGGTTTCGCTCTGACTTACTTTAACTTCCCTGGGCCTTGTCCATATCCTTTCGTCTCCAACTTCCTGTAAAAGTTCCTCAGCTTGGCTTCAAAGTCTCGCTTGTAAGGGGCTGGTGCCCGGGCATTGGCACGCTGTGTACCTACAGCAAACCACAGAGAGAGAGGGTTGGCTTGGCACAATGTCCCGGCATGCACCATGTCACCATGAACACCTATCACCAGACCTGAGACCGGAGAGAACATGGGCCAGGGGCCACCCACCCGTCCCGTTCCTGCGGCTCCCCCACCGCTCCAGGATAACGGCTGCACAGAGCACACGCAAACAGCACTAACTCTTGTTCTGCAGAACCATGAGAATGCATTGGCTTCTCTCATTGTTGATGCTGTTATAGATGTCCCTCCTGCCCCCCACCCCTCCACTTTGCCCACCTCCACATGGTCCCTGCTTCTCTTGGTGGCAGTTTGGTCACAAAGAACGAAGCTGATTGGGTAATTATGATGGTGCCATGTGTTCCTCAAAGAAGTCCCCCCTTTCAGCCCAAGCTGCTGCGAGCCAAGCAGGATCACTGCGGACTGGAGGGCGGGATCTCTCTGGTTGCAGGATGAGGTGACAACATGCCAATTAGACAGGAAGTTATAATGGGAGAAGTATGCAGTGCCTAAAGCAAGAGCAGTGAGTTTCCATCCTTTACTCCATGGAAAACCTGTAAAATTAATTTTGGAATTGCCCTAGACCAGTGGTCAGCAAACTGTGGCTCGCAAGCCACATGCGGCTCTTTGGCCTCTTGAGTGGGGCTCTTCCACAAAATACCACGGCCTGGGCGAGTCTATTTTGAAGAAGTAGCGTTAGAAGAAGTTTAGGTTTAAAAAATTTGGCTCTCCAAAGGAATTTCAATGGTTGTACTGTTGGTATTTGGCTCTGTTGACTAATGTGTTTGCCGACCACTGGTCTAGACACATAATTGCATGTGTTTTATGTCACGGGGTAGAATAATCTGGATGTCAAAACAGAATTCAGACGTAACTGCAGGAGGCACGTCTCCTGGTTGTGCAGAGTAAACAAGACTGCCGTTTGTTGCTTTCTTTTTTTCGCATAACAACGTGAATGAATGCATTTATTTCTTTTATTGTTGACAGTGTTAGAGGTCCCCTGATTCCCCCCACTTTTGCCCACCTCCACACGGTCCCCGCTTCTCTTAATAGGTGTCAAGTACTGCGATTATCTACAGATTGTCTAAAGATTTTTTAAAAATATCTCATCATATGACAAGTATCATTAATAAAATGTAGAAGTAATAGTTCCTCTTTCCATAGAAAAATCTGGCTTTGGGTCATAAGGTGTCTAACCAACTGGCCAGGATACAGAATTGGTGATAAAAATGGGAGTTAGGGCCCTGACAACAACACTGGAAATTTCCACCAAAGATTTCACAACCCAATGAGAGAAACCAGAGAACAGACTTGCTGAAGTCCTGTGCATCACACACCACAGTAAGCACATTAAATATTTATTTGTAAATGAATCAGCTCAGTGGTGGTCATTCATTGCTAATACCATGTTGGATTCAGCAAGGGATGCTCAGAATGAGTCAGACAGGGTTCCTTAAGTGGGCACCCCTGGCTGGGAAATCAGCAATAAAACACGCCAAGCACAATGGAATGCTATGCTGCGGTAAAAAAAGAAGGAATTCTTACCATTTAGATGGAACTGGAGAGCATTATGCTAAGCAAAATAAGCCAATCAGAGAGAGATATGACATGATCTCACTCACTTATGGAATATAATGAACAACATGAACTGATGAACAAAAACAGACCCAGAGACAGAGAAGCATTGATCTGACTGTCTAACCTCAGAAGGAAGGTAGGGGAGGGTGGGGGTAAGGGGAGAGATCAACCAAAGGACTTGTGTGCATGCATATAAGCCTAACCGGTGGACACAGACAACAGGGGATGAAGGCATGAGTGGACCGGGTGTAGGGAGGGAGGATGGTGGGTGGGTATGGGGAGGGAGGCAGTGGACGGGTGAGGGAGGGAGGCGGTGGACGGGGTGTGGGGAGGGAGGATGGTGGACGGGGTGTGGGGAGGGAGGCGGTGGACGGGGTGTGGGGAGGGAGGCGGTGGACGGGTGAGGGAGGAGGCGGTGGACGGGGAGAGGGGCGCTCTCTCTGTGTGGATCTGGAGATGCCTGCTGCACAGGCCCACGCACAGGAGCGGCACCCGGGGTGGGCAGGGGCCTCGCTTCGGGTGGAACGGGGTCACACACCCAGCCTGTGCAGCCCGTCTCAGCCTGACGGCGGCTGTCTGCGTGGAGCTGGCACAGAGGGCGCGGGCCGCACCGCGGCTCAGGGACGGGTTCGGTCCCTCAGCTACTGATCACCAACGTGCCTAGACGTCTGTCTGCGGAGCCATGACTCTTCCACCCACAGAGCTCAGCGCCGTGTCGCAAAGCAAACCAATAAAGGGACCTGAGTGTCTGGGATGCAGGAGGGGCATGACAGCGCGGCTGCAGGTCAGCACCACCTGGGAAGCTAAACCCTCCCTGGCCAGGCCACACCCCAGAGGCATGCCGTCAGGCTCTGGGGGTGTGGCCCGGCTAGTGTTTTACGGGCTCTCCAGCCACTCCAGAGGGCAGCCAAGCGTGAGAACCATTACCCACCACACACACCCTCCCCCGACGACAAAATACCCACAGAACACCTGGGCAGCATCGCATCCAGCGACCGACACTCCTGGACGCCCAGGGACAGGTCAGCGTGCCCCACGTCCACTCAGGGGAGCGGCACGGGGCTGTCAGTGCTGCCGTCTACTAACTAGAAAGAAAGGCCGACCAGCACACCCCGACAGCTGGGAGCAGACTCCGGAGCCAGTGACCGTGAGCATGACCGAGGGCAGGGAGGAGGAAAGGAAGGCACAGCAATCCACGCGCATCGCCCAGGCTCTTCTGAAGAAAGGTGCTTCTGCGGGAGCTCGTTGCTTAAACAGAAACACAACCTCGCATCCTAGGCTGCCGCTGCATGGTCTGAGATCCTTACATAACAGGACAGGGGGACCTCATAAAGCATTCATCAGTATCAGCACGGGCCTCAGTAAACCTGAGCTCTGACTCCACTGATGATGCTCAGCTCAAATGACTCGATTTCGGAGACTCTGGAGACAGACATCGTTAAAGGCAAAAAAAAAAAAAAAAAAAAAAAAAAAAAAAGCTTCTGCTAATAGTTCTATCATGAAAAAGCCATTTACCCATGACTTCACGGCTTAGAAATGACAGGGAATTAGGCCGCTGGCCCTTGCCAGACTCCTAATGCACGTCAGGTGCAATGCCAAGAAATTCCAGGGCAGGAGTGACGGGACGCCGCTCTGGGAAGAAACACGATCTTTCTGGAGGCGCAGGCGGCAGCCCCGTGCACACAGCTCCCAGGGCGGCTCTGGGCTCCAGGGCGCGGCCAAAGCGAGCTCATGGTCCTCACGGACTTGGGGAAGGAAGTCAGACTCAAAGGTGGATGTCACACTGAGGAAGCGACTCAATGAAGGGTGACTGCGTAGGGTAGTCAGTGCTGCGTTCGTTATTCGCAGGAAAAGATGTCCGTGAGGGACATTAGGGTGTTTTTTTTTCTTGACCTCAAGTCCTTCCACACAGTGCCGCCCTGTTTCTACGTCCTGTTATGAACGGCCTCGTCACATACCGACCACGGCATTCTGCCTGAGGAAACCCAGGAGGAGACACTGGGAAAGTCTTTGCATCGAGCTTCGGAGAAGCCTGGGTCCCTCTGGTTATCCGGGTGTGCCCCCAGCAACACAGGCTGCCTCGAGGACTGGCGGCCCTGGCTGGGGAGCGAGCTCAGCAGAGTCCCTCCTGGTCCCAGGCCGAGCTCATGTCTACCCTGGTCCACTTCCTAAAAAAAACCTCTGACAGTTCCAAAAATCCTGCCAGTGAATGAGGACAGACTATCAAGTCTGGGCAGTAACTTCTGGACGACTCCACCTTCTGGAACACAGCTCAGCAATGGAAATTAACAGGGAACCCCCCCCCCCCCACACACACACACACACACCACACTTACACTCACACACACACACACACACTCACACTCTCACACTCTCACACACTCACACACACCACACTCACACACACACACTCTCACTCACACTCTCACACACACTCACACTCACACACTCTCACACTCTCACACACACACTCACACACTCACTCACTCACTCACACACACACTCACACCTTCAGACTAGCTGGCGGTGGGCAGCGCAGCCACAGCAGTCTGTCTTCACATTTGTGCTTTTTTCCCCTAAGAGGAACAGGCCTTCGGGTCATTGTTTTGAGCTGGCTCATTTACATACTACTTGGGTTTCTTTTTAAAAGCCCTTAGGTAGTCTGGCCTCTCAGACTGGGGTGGATTAAAAGGGAGAGCAAAGGGCATGCCAGTGACGGGCACCCGGAGGGCACTGGGGCGGGGACAGGGAGACGAGCAGCAGCCACCACCTCTTAGCTGCGACAGAGGCACACTCAGCCTCCCAACTCTCACAAGGGACACCGACAGTTCTCTTATCTGATTCCCAGATCACATTGGGGGAGGGGGGGTCAGAGTAAAGAGAAGGGGTGGAACCCCATTTCTAGAACAAGTGCAGAGAGACTCCAGGGAGGGTGGAGTGATGGGGGAAGGGAGAGGGGATAGGAGGGGAAAGGAGGGAGAGACAGGGAGGATGTTTGTGGGAAGAACAGGCTAGGAGATGATCAGCAGCTAAGATGCTGACTCCCAGAAGAGAGAGAAAGAGAATCCAATCCCTGTGGGGTGGGAGGAAGTGTTCCCTCTCCGCCCCCATGCCCTCAGGACGAGCCCCAGGGAGACCCGCCTGTGACCTGGGCTGCTGTCACTTCCAGATGGCCCAGGTCTGGCCAAGGGCTGCCAGCGCCGTGCGACGGTCCCTCAAACCGCCCAGTCCCGGGCACCAGAGCTCAGGGGACGGGGATGTCCACAGGAGTGTGCACACCTCCCACAGCTCTTGTTACACGAGGGATTCACTGCATCTGCATTCCGAGACACATGCAGCCACCCGAGGCCCTGAATCTGCGGCTGGGCCCGGATCCGACGCCAAACCACGGGGTGCTTAGGAAGGGCTCTGCCTTGGGGGGCCTTGCTAAGGCCAGCCTGGCTCCTAAGGTCCTAGGAAAGCAGAGCTTCCCGCGGCGCTCTCCCAGCTAAAGAGCAGTGACAGGCTGCCCTGCGCTCCGGCGAGGACACGTGGACCGCTGCCCGGGCCTGGGCGCTCCGAGGAGACCTTCAGCACATACGATCGCCATCATGTATGATCACAACATCACGCCCACGCCCTCAGGGGCTGGCATTCCAGTCTCAGGGAGGACCAGATGCGTCTCAGAACCCCTTCCCAGTGCTTTCCTGAGAACGTGAGAAACACCGGTAGACGAAGAGACTCTTCCACTTGGAGAACAGGAGGACATCGGCCAGCGAGCCCCCACCACCACCACCAGGGGGGGGGGGTCACGTGGAATCAGTTAGTGACCCCACAAACCACCCTGCTGAACCCCGGTGGGCCAGAGGCAGGGGGACGTTCTCCCTGGAAATCACCGCCACCACCAGCACGGCCGGCGCGAGAGGTGTGCCTGGCCCTCCTTGTCTCTGGAACACGACCCCACACCGGCCTCCAGGAGGCACGTTCCTCCCACCAGGGCCTCCTCACGTGATGGGAGATGAGATGAAGAGATCTCGGCATCACGTCGCATGTTCACGCGAGCCAATCTCCCAGCCTGTGCTTGGGAGGATCTCAGAGGGACACCCCGAGATCTGTCTTTTCTCAGGGAGGGCTCCTCAGCAGAGGCCTGGGAGGAGAACGCTGGCTGGAATCAGTGACAACCACAGGGCTTCATTTCTTTAACCGGAAGCATCCGGTGAGACACAGCCCACCTGAGCGTCACCCCGGGCTCCAGGCCCAATCAAGACCCGTCGGAATGATTAACTACCGTATTTTTCGGACCATAAGACGCACTTTTTTCCCCCCAGAAGTGGGGGGGAAAAGTCCCTGCGTCTTATGGTCCAAATATAGCCTACACATATACTTTTAAAAAAAAGTTTTTTTACTTGCCCGGCTCTGTGTGGTCTCTGTGTGCTTGCCCGGCTCTAAAATGGTTCTAAATGCTGCTGTTTACTTTACAGGGTTGATTACATGTGTTTATGACTGTGATGTTGGGTTTTAATGCACATAAAATATTTTAGGACACTATTTGTTTCAGAATCTTTTTTTCTTCATTTCCCTTCTCTAAAAACTGGTGCGTCTTATGGTCCGGAGCGTCTTATGGTCCGAAAAATACGGTATCTAGTCAGCCGGCCCTGAGAGTCAAGGAGAAATGGGTTGGTAGGTTGCAGTTATTAACGGTTCAAATATTGGCAAAGGCTACTTCTCAGAATCCTATTTCCAAAAAGGAATAAATGAATAGGTACTGGATGCTGGTGTTGGTGTTCTCCAGCGAGGTTTCCTCCATATAACCAGGGCCTGGACCACTGTTATTCCCACTCTACAGAAATTCAAGGTCAGGGAGGAGTGGATCCGGGTGTCACACACAAAGACGAAGGCCAGCTGTGAATGATGGACCTTCCCCCCTGGATGCAGGCATCCAATATCTGTGTGACACTGGAACTTACCTGCAGTGTCATCTAGGCTGTCTTTCCATCCGCAGCATCCAGGCTGGTGTCCCTACTCTGTTCCCAAGCTGACCTGTGCTTCGGCCCCGGGGCCCTGCCTTCCCCCTGCCTGGGCTGTGCCACCTGCTGCTCTGCCCCATTCGAGGGGCCACTCTCTTCCCACCCACATTGTCTGACCTCTGTGTGCCAGACACACAGACACTCAGCCTCCCCCTCCGAAACCCCCTCCTCAACGCCTCTTCTTCCAGGTAACGGTCCTGGCTTTCATTCCTTTCACGCTTTCTGAAAACAATCTTCTATCCACCCGGCTTCTACTTGACGTCCTCTATCATGCTGTTGCCAGTCCCATTTCAGTCGGTGACCTAGCATTTCACGGAAACTGCCCTGGCAAAGGCCATACCCCATTTCATCAATTCCACATGTCATGGCCTCTTCCTGGACCTCATCCCTCACGACACCTTTGAAAATGTGGTCCTGCTAACCGCTCCCTCCTCCCTGAAACCTGGCTCCCCTGGAAGGACTTTCCTAATTCTGTTCCAAACTCCACCGGCTCCCTCTCCTGTACCCTCTCCCCCCACCCATCACTGAAATACTGGAGTTTCCCAAGGGACCGTCTCTCTTCTCCCTTCTGCCCACAGACGTGTATTCCCTCGTTCCTCTCCTCTCATCCCGGGCCCAGCTGGGCCCAGCCACCGCTTCTCCGGAGCTCCACGGCAATCTTTTTCAGCTGTGTCTGGATATCTCCAAAGATTCCTCAGGAGACAGGTCCGAACCAAACTCACTTTCCTCTCCCCTCCAGCCTAAACCTTTTCCTTTCTCGGTAAATGGGGTTATGGTCTGCCTAGCAACCTAGGTGGTGAGGATCTCAGAACCTTCCTTACCGGAACTCAGAGTCCTAGTGTCTCATGTCTTTCGAATTCATTCCCTTTTCTCTAGCGTCAGGAGTCCAGCTCTTCAGCATGTCCCCTGCGTTGACACAACAGCCTCCCAAATAGTTTCTCTGGTTCTAGTCTCTCATTTTCTAATCCATCCTCTGTACCGCCACCGCACTGGTCTTGATGAAACAGGGTGCTCCTCTGTTTATGAACTTTTAGGGGCTCCCCATGGACTATACAAGGTAAGGCACCGATGACCAGCAGGCCCTAGTCCGTCTTTCCAGTCTGAGCGCTGGAAACTTGCCTTCCCTGTGCCCTAAACTGGGACCCTGCTTTGGTGCCATGAAGGTCCGTCTTCCTTCGGTCTCCCTGGGAAACCCCTCTCCTCATTCTTCAGGGTTCCCCTTCTTACCTGGTCTCTTCATCTTTCCCTAAACACCCCACCCCTGGTCTTCAGGGAAGACGTGTTCCCACATCTGTTCCCACACATTCTTCCACACAGGACGGACCACAGAGCTTTACAGAGTCCTGCGCTGACTCACTGGCGCACCATGAGCCCTTCAAAGGCAGGGAGTGCCTTACTCATCTTCCCAGCACCAGCGCTTCGATCACAGAGGATGCTCCATAAACCCGTGGTGAGTGAACCCTTTCCGGTGTGTGGCATGCAAGCCGGCTGGAGCTTCATTATCACAACAATATGTGAAAACACATGTCACATATCAATGAACACAGAGCAGCGCTTCGCAAAACATGTGGAGTCTGGATTCCCAGGAGCATCGTTTTAAATCCCGAAAGCTATTAAAGTGTGAACAATGCATTGCCTATAATGAGGACAAGGCAGCTGATTTACAGCATCACGGATACCCTCCTTTAAAAGCACTCACTTGCTGAGCTGCGTTTTCTACCATTCATTCATTCATTCATTCGTTCATCTATCCATTCACCCCTTCATTCAACCACTCACCCCTTCATTCACAACATACCTCCTTCAAAAGGAATTTGAACATAAACATTTTTGTTTGTTCATCTATCACACACTCTGTCTGCCCTCGAGTCCTTCGTGGTCCCCTCGAGCGCAGGTCGTGACTTCTGCAGGGAAAACTCTCCAAGTCCGTGAGGCTGACCACTTTCAGTTCTCTATTGTTTCTTCAAAGTGGAGATTTCTTTTTATTAGTCCTTGAATCAGCCTCCTAACTAAAACCTCTTAAAAATCCAAAAATCTAGCATAATAGTCTGTGCCCTAACGTTTGCCGAGGCACATCAGACCCTGCAGAATGAAGAGTAAGTTCTGTGTCTGACGAGGTCACACGGCGAACTTTGACCTCTCTATTCTGGAATGTCATTACCTCCTATCAGCATGAATCCCCCGGGGAACAGGCCAGTGGCAGAGGACAGAGCGGGCCAGAGGGCATGCCCCTGGGCTAGCCCTGAAGATGCCCCCGCATGGCCCCGCACCGGCCCTGGTGCAGAACAGAACCTCGGACCTGGGGCTCGCTCCTCGGAGGTCCCAGGAGCCGCAGGCGGACTCACCTGGCGAGTTCTGGGGAGAGGACACGGGGGAGCCGCGCGGGGACTGACAGTAGCTGGGGTGGAGTAAGGCATGCGGAGGCACATAAGACATTATCTCTTCTTCAAATAAACTGGGGAGAGACAAGAAACAGAATGCGCACTTTAGCCAACGAGGTGGGGACACGCCTGGTTTCCCCGTTGAGACAGCCCCTCTCTCCTCCTGGCCCGTCCCGCCCGAGGCCTCGGCCCCGACCCCCGGGAGCGCTGTCCCCCTGCCTGCTGGCCAGTCCCCACACAGGCTGGCGGCTGCGGCCACTTCGGAGAAACCTGTGGTCACTGGTCTGGGTTCCTACCGACTCCAGACAGTGCCGGTTCTGTCTGCCACTTTAAATGTGCGAGTTTGCGTTCACATGTTTGTGTGCAAGAGCACCTGGGAGGGTTATATTTGGGAATAAGATCCCAAGACAGCAGACATCTGTCGAGCGCCCCTCGAGGACACACAAAGCATGTTTCACAGCTTCCTCAGAGGGACAGGCAGGGGTCTCAGCCTTTGGAGCGCAGGGCTTAAAAGGAGCGTTAAAAGCAAAAGAAAACACCGTGGTTCTTCAGTCATCAGCCCCCTCGCTGAGCCTGGCTCTCTCAAGGTTTTCAAAGGTGAGTGTTCTGAGGTCTGATGACCCAACCCCGTATCTGCTGTCCCTCCTGGTCTTCTAACAGGCAGCCAGCAGATGTCTGCTCTCCTGGAATCCCACATCATACATACGATGGAAAGGAGATGCAGTACTGATTGCACTAACTCAAACAAACACTTGAAATAGAATGAAGACAACCACTGGGGGGTTTTAAATTAAGAGGTGGACGCAGGTTTGCTTTACACTCAGCCAAGTCTAAAACCGGCTCCTTGTTTTCAGAAGACATTCAGGAGAAGTGGGGGAGTTTCACCTGGTCGGGGCTTTTCAGAAGGGCCTCCCAAGGCCCTGCTTCCAAGCCCAGCGAGGCTGCCCTGCCCCCACACCATCCGAGGACGCGGAGTGAGGAGGAGGCCGGTTTTGGGTGCCATAACTGGGGGAGGGGTGCTTCTGCTATCTGGTGGGTAGAGGCCAGGATGCTGGCGAGCATCTCACAGTGCACAGACCGGCTCCCTGCCACACAGGCACATGCAGCCACAGCGGCCGCGTGGCCGAGGCTGGGAAGCCCAGGGTGGCAGTGGTGCAATGACAACGCCACGGCCTTTCTGTCCCTCTTCAGCCACATGCGCACACCTGTGAGACCGGCCGTGGTAGCAAAGGCACTTTTAGACAGGATGCTTTTTAGAGCCATCTTTCCATTTTTAAACTATAGAGGTCAGGACATTTGGAAACAAGCGGTAAGGAATCATATTTTTAATACGTAATTAGGCCCTGAAACGGTCATTTCTCTTCTTCAGTAACTCAGTAGTCCGTGGAATAATGTGATGTTAAAGTGAATCCTAGTGAGAAGTCCCATGTAATGGTTGCTATCACAAAGTCCTAGCTAAATTAATTGTAAAGTGGGGATCAGCACCCTCTCCTCAGACATCTATACCGGTTTTATTTTTACTTTCAGACAAACATGCATGCATACGTGTAGATCTGTGTATATGTATGATTGTGTATATACATATCTGCATGTGTGCAAGTATGCATATGCAGTACCTTTTGTTCCCCTCTTTCATGACCTTAATAGGTATCCTGCCATAGTTTTATATTTTGCAACACATAGGCATAGATAAATATATATATTTAGCTTTGCCTAAAGCACTACTAAGAATTATAATAGCTATATGTGCATTGCATCCTTGGACATTTTGCTCAGCAATATAATTCTGAGATTTGTCTGTGTTAATATATAAGGATATAGTTTATTATTTTTACCTGCTATGCAGCAGCAGGTCATTCTATGAACAAAGTTTCTTTATCCCTATCTCCTTTGACAAATAGTCACTTCTCCCCAACTTTGTGCTTTTATCAGTGATGGTGCAGTGAACATCCTGCCTAAGACACCTTGGGCATATGTAGAAGAGTTTCTTAGTGTAACCATGGTAACATATCTGAAATGAGAACTGCTCAGTCATAATGTAGGTGCCTTTTTAACTATAGATAACATTGCCGAACTGTATTCTAAAGAGGGTCTAGAAATGGCAATCCCACCACATCCGGGCAACAAAAGAGGCCCGACTTCTTATTTGGTATTATGAGGCTTTGCACTTTTTTTCAAATCGAACAGTGAGAACTAGTATCTCATTATTTGAAGCTGCCTTTGGTGACTGCTAGCATCTTTCCATGCTGTACTGGCTACTGTTGCTTGAGTTTCTATGAAATGTCTTTTGATAGCCTTCACCCATTTTTATTTTAAATTGATTGAAATGTATTCTTTATGTACTTATGATATCATTTTTATGTGTTGTGAATATATTCTCCTAGTTTGTTACCTTTCTTTCTGTCTTTATATTAATATGTGGTGTCATTCATTATGTAAACTTTAAAATTCAAATGGAGCCAATTTCATCAATCATTTCCTATATGAACTCTCTAACAAGTATATTTTTTACATGAGTTGTTAGTGAAAGAATATATGAACCAGAATAATCAATAACAGATGCAGCAAGGACATTTAGATACTCTTGGGTTTCATGATATATATATTGGAAAATAGCCTTCCACAAGTTTATTTTTGAATGGAATACTTTCCCAGAGCCGTGTCATCTATCTCCACACTGCAGCCTGATGGCAATCAAGTCCCTTGGACCAGGAGTGATTTCTCTTTTTAAGAAATAGACAACGTATAAAAACGGGCCAAGTCTTCCCCTTTTAGCAAGAGATCCGTTGCTTGACTTCACAGTCACTATTTCAAATTACTCAAACTCCAAAGTAAAATTAAAAATAAAGAACTAAGGATATCCCCCAAAAGTTTCAGTGATCATTAAAGATCATTTATTAAGCACCACAAGTAATACATTGTATCACTGTATTATTAAAATGATAAACACATTTGATCATCCAAATATTTCCATCCAAACTATGATAGAAACACCATACTCCATATTAATCGACTAATCATCTTCCTATCTGGCACAGTATATCCTGTTTTCAGAACTAGCTCATGACACCATAAGCAAGGCTCACCCTCTTGACAGAAAAGGAATCCCTCCACCGTAGGTCTTGTTCAGAATCAACTGAAATGAAATCTTAATGGAAAGTGACTACATCCCAATGAATTATGCCCAAAAAATCCAGTAAACTAACATTTTGGCTTTCGTTTTTAAAATATGGCAACTATCAAGTAGGCAGTTAGATCTTGATCGGGTCAAGATCATTATGAATAACATTCATGAGGTTGTTAGCCCTTTGGAATAAATAAAATATTGACTGATGTGGCTCAGCATGATCTGCCCTTCAGTTCTACGGAGGTCACACTGGTGGGATGTCCCAACCACTGTGGGGAGCAGGCATTGTTTTACTCTGGCCTCCTCCATGTGAAGGGTAATACTGAAAATGAAAAGGGCTCTTGAAACCTGGCTACTTTCCCTTGAAACTACGCTACAATTTAAGACCAAAGCTACTCTCACCATCAGCAAAGAAAACACAATCGGTCAGTTTTATGAAGGGCTATCAAGTGGACAGTGAGTACCAGGGACCAAATTTCAACTTGATCTGATTTCCCAGACCTAAACTCTCAAGACCATAACGTAAATAAACACTATTGACTCAGCCAAAGGGGACCGAGCCCATTTTACACACACCCAAAATCTGAAAGAAGATACAAATGTGACCTCTTCTGTGCTGAAGGGGTAAGCTGTATCTACCCTTCTGTTCCATTCTATGAATGGGACATCCTCTCCATTGGCCTCTACAGACCCGCCCCTGCTCTAATACCACCTCCTCTACCAGCAGGGCAAACCCCAAACCAGACACTCCGTGATGGGAAAGGAAAAGGCAATCCGGAGTGAGGGACCACGACACCAGCACCCGCCTCTGCAACCTGGGCACTCCACAGGAACTCCAGAGTCAAGGCTACCAGTGCTGTCAAATTATTTTCTAAAATGCTCCTGATACCTGATAACAAGACCTTCACAGTTCAAAAAGGAGGGCTACCTACCTCAGCAACATCACAAGGTCTGCATCACTTGAAAGACGCACCAATCCTGGGGTCCCTTCCGTTCGAATAAATTGGATCTTCTCCCTGTTCAAGCAGAGAAACGGCTCACAATGCATGTAGTCGATTTCTGAGACATAACTCAGTGCTTTAAGCACCAATTTTTTCAATGATGGTCATACGGTTTTTGGGGATACCTGTTAGGTGGCAGTTAGGGTGTGACACCCTAGAAACACACACCCAAGGCAGACATGGTCCTTGCCTTCAAGGACAACCTCACGGGGGTCAACATTGCCCAGTCCTCATGCTGGGAAAGATTCTTTTATTGGCTGATACTTTGCTGCCCAAGTCCTACAACCGGTTGTAGCATCATCCAACCAAGAAAACGCGGTCCCTGCTTTGAGTTAAGGCCTGTTGTGGGCTTGAATCTAATCAACTGAATCAACTGTAGGTCATTCAGGCTGATTCGCTGATATTTCAAATAGTGAGTGTGTGGGGACAGTCATTTATATTCCTGAGGAATATCTTTAGTAAATTATGTGATGAGCGCATTCTTACTTGGAAGCAGGAAGCATCTATGCATTATATATTCAATATAAGAGCAGACAGTTCTTTCAAATAATTGAAAATGTGAGACACTTTCAGTTACTACAGTTGGAGAGGCAGATTCTGTCTCTATCTGTGGGACGACACACTCACTTATACAAACTCATATCCAACACCACCATGTGCTCTATTCTACCATCATTCTATTTACAGACATATGTGATAACATCAGGTGTTTTGTTTGTTTCATGAATCATGTTACTATTTCCAATTCTTTACATTAATACAATTTTAATAAAAAGGTTCCTAGTTGTACCCCCTGATTTACACCAGGCTATTTCAAAGCAAACCATATTATTTTTTATGAAATGAGAGGAAAAAAATAAGAACATAAATTATGATACTGAAAGCATTACATTTGATAGGAACATTGGGCCGACATAAGCATGTCTTACTTTAAGGGCTAACAACAATGTATCTGGATTCCTGTATACCATACTATGAAACAGCAAGTATTTAAGCAATTATTCAGATGCAAGTATCTATCTAATAAAAGTATAATATGCAAATTGACCATCACTCCAACTCACAAGATGGCCACCCTCATGTGGTCAAAGATGGCTGCCCCCATGTAGACACAAGATGGCCACAATGAGATGGCTTGCAGGGGAGAGCAGTTGTGGGTGATCAGGCCAGCAGAGGAGGGTAGCTGGGGGTGACCAGGCCAGGAGAGGAGTTGAGGGGGAACAGGCCTGCAAAGGAGGACAGTTGGGGAAGACCCAGACCTGCAGGGAAGGGCAGTTGTGGGCGATCAGGCCAGCAGGGGAGGATAGTTAGGGGTGACCAGGCCTTCAGAGGAGGGCAGTTGGGGGCAACCACACCTGCAGGGGAGGACAGTTAGGGGTGACTAGGCTGGCAGGGGAGGGCAGTTAGGAGTGACCAGGGCGGCAATGGTGGGCAGTTAGGGGCAACTGGACTGGCAGGGGAGCAGTTAGGCATCAATCAGGCTGGCAGGGAAGTGATTAGGCTGGCTAGCAGAAGCAGTTAGGGGCAATCAGGCAGGCAGGCAAGCTGTTGGGAGCCAACAGTCCTGGATTGTGAGAGGGCAATCGGACATCCCTCAAGGGGTCCCAGATTGTAGAGGATACAGGCTGGGCTGAGGAACACACCCCCTACCACACCTCTTACTCCCCCCGCCCTGTGCACAAATTTCATGCACTGGGCCTCTAGTTTATTTATATTTAGTTCTTATCTATAGAGCATTTACTATTTTAGTACAATTCCACTGCAATTTACATTTCCAAATTCCAAACTCTCTTTTGAGATACGTAGAGGCCTGAGGCAATGAGGTGGAAGGTGAGGTTTAATTGTTGAGACAAAAATAAAAATCCCTAATCACAGAAAATCACTGAATCATTTCTCTCAGCCACACAGCTTGCTAGATAAACAGCTCAGTTTCTGGCTTCTTCCAGCTAGATCCATTTTACAGAACATGTTAGCATATGAAGCAGCTAACCTTTGGTATGGCCAGTTTTGTCTGTCCTTCACTGCCATACACACACACACACACACACACACACACACACACACATATATATATATATAATGACAGACATGTATGTCTGTCATTATATATATGCTCTCTTTGGAGGCTCCAACCAATCAGAACATTTCTCCAAATTATTCATATCACATATCTAAAGCACAGGATGAAAACCAAGGCCCATTATCTGGTGAATGATTTTTTTTTTTGGGGGGGGGGGATAAGAAATATAAAAGTTGGTTTAAAAAAGCTAACGATGAAAAGTTATCTTGGAGAAAAAAATAAACAATAATTTAAACAAAGAAGTACTCTTTGAGGGCCAGTAACACTATACTTTGATCTTGAAGAATCAAAATCTATTTTCAACAAATAACCCATTTATCTCCTCAGCCTATCATCACAGTGAACCAGGCAAACAGATCAAAATCAGAAAGCAAACAGGCTGAGCTCCCCCCACTTCTCTGCCTGGAGGTACCCGAGTGGGTGCGGCCGTGAGAGGCTATCACGCTCTGGACTGTGGCTTGTGTGTTTCCTGTGAATAAGGAAAAGATCACAGTTCTGAATCACCAGGGTGACGGGGTAAGGAAAGAAAAGCCCAAGGCACCCGAGGAAACGTGCCACGTGGGAAACTGTTCACCACGTCCCAGATATTAACTCCTTAGCAGTGAAGGTCACGCGTCTGACTCTTCAGGCAACAGCAGAGCCGAGACAGGCTGAGACTAGCTCCCTGCGGGACCAGCTAACTCAGCACAGAGACAAGTTATGGGTCATATGCTTCCGGGAACAAGACACTAGAGCATGTCATCTGATGTACATCAGACCACTGTGTACTTTCTTATACTAATATCCACCTGTTCTCTCAGCGTACATTTTCTGAGTGCCTCCTATGCGTGAAGTGTGGTACCACACACCAGGAATCCAATACATGATAAGACACACCCTCTTGCTGAAATCGGTTTGGCTCAGTGGATAGAGCGTCAGCCTGCGGACTGAAGAGTCCCAGGTTCAATTCTGGTCAAGGGCATGTACGTTGGTTGCGGGCACATCCCCAGGAGGGGGGGTGCAGGAGGCAGCTGATCGATGTTTCTCTCATATCAATGTTTCTAACTCCCTATCCCTCTCTCTTCCTCTCTGTAAAAAATCAATAAAATATATTTTTTAATTAAAAAAAAAAAAAAAAAAGACACGGCCCCTTTCGCAAAGAATTCACTGCACCGTGAAAGAGATTTCTCTTTCAATGGGCAACTCTAGGATCACAGGAAAATACTGAGTTCCTTTCAGCTGGCTGAACTCTGGTTAGGCCTGATGCCCACTCCCATTCTATCAACTCCTTCCTAAAGCCTTTTAGGGAAGAAACAAAGTAGGCCTTGGTCTAGGGAACAGGCCAAGGCTGAGAACGAGACAGAAGTCAGCAGCTCTACTCAGAAATGTCACCAATCTTTTCTGAGAAATGAAAAAAATAAGGGAACTACTTTCTTGTCCTTGGGTATTTGACCAATATTCTATAGACCAGCATTTCTCAAACTGGTGTTCTTGTCTACCAGAAATCTACAGACAAAATCTTGAGTTCCGGGCCAATTAAAAAGTGTTGTTTTCACTCTGCTGATATGGAAGAAGGGAAGCATATGTTAGATAATCTCCTGACTTTAGTTTTTGACTGAATACAGCCCTGTGACTTTGCCTCCCATGTTTGCATTTATAAGACAGTTGCTGCCAAGTGATCAAAGATCAACTTCAAAGCCTCAGTGTCAGGCCCCTAGGTCTGTGGCAAGGCCTTAAAGGTAAATTCGATGATACAAGGACCCTTATCTACCACTCATGCACAATTCTTTCCCAATTGAAAACACCAAACTTTTCTCCTGTAGCCTTAATTTGCATAATGACAATGCTGAAGTGAGGCTAAGTAACATATCTCCAGGTTGCCATAGGCTAAGGAGAAAACAAAATAGATGGGTGTGAAAGATAAGTGAGGTATTCATACTAAAGAAAGCTAAAAGATGTCACAATTCATTCTAAGAACAAAGGTTTTACAATAGTTTACAATAGAAAAATGGCAGCAGGATCATCACAGGGTACAGTTAAGTCCACATTGTATTTAAGGGATACAACTGAATGAATTCGCTCATCAACACGATGAATCAGCAGGCGAAATTTATGCTATTTGTTAAGAAGGAAAAATGGTGACCACGGTAATGCCACAGATGCCGTGATGGACCATTAGATGCAAAATCGCAACAATCAAGATAACACAGCTGAAGCGAAAAGCACAAATGTATCCTTCCCCTGACAAAGGTCCCAACGTTGGTGATTTGTCCTCTGAGTATCCAAGTCTCATTAGTTCAAGTGTGATTGATTTTTTTTTTAATTTTTACTTAATTTATAGGTCTCTTGGTTTTATAGTTTACAAAAGTACAGAGACAAAAAGGTTATGCATATTTTACACTGGCACAGGTTTACGTTTCATTAAAATAAAAGTGGTTCAAGTCGACACTGTAGATCTGCCATATTTCTTTTCCTTTTAGAGTGAGAAGTAACAGATTTGGCTCCTAACACATTTCCATGAGTTCACTCAGCGTCGAAATAAACTAACAGGTTTGAGAAATATTGTTAAACATACGATGACTCTTACTAGGGGTACATCTGAAAGTTACATGAATGTGTTTATTCTGTTTTATTTCATACATGCATAGAGTTATGAGGACTCTGACAGTCCTCTCATTTCTTTCTTTACTGCCTCCACCTTAAAGCCACGTCAGTGGCTTCTAATGAGGATTAATTTATATTCAAATAACGGTTAACCATGTGAACTTCTCTGCATGGCCGCTGCTCCACTCTGTGCCCTCTGGGGTACATCCCAGCACTTCCTCCATCGAACTTTCCCACAGGGCCACGCGGCTGGAACTGAAGTTCCTTTTGAAACTTGAGTATCTCGAGGGCAAAGCCCTTCCTTCCTCCTTTGCTTGTATGTTCCCCAAGTGCCTACTGAGGGGCTGTGCAC